ACATAAACATAATTCCGATCACAAGCCATGCGCATTCCACTTCGCTCCGTTAATACTAAAAAAAGAGAAAACATTAAGTTAACACAAAAAAAAAGTTAAAAAATTCAGAATCCAAAAAGAATTTTAAAAAAAATTTGTTCCTATGTAAAGCGGTAATATCCCTCAATTTATCAGATAAAGTGAATGGAGAAAGTTGCATTGGAAAGTTCTCGCTGAATTTACATATCAAATAAAGAGAGCTCGAAATTTTCTACAATACATTTTTTTTTAAAAACGCGACATAAGTGATTATAAAGAATAATAACGTCAAAGTTTACATATTTCTCTCGAAGGACCACCATTATCTTGCCTGCGCCTGTTGATCTGTTGCTTAATAACTTCAAATTTTGTAGATGCATGGGTAGTGTCCTGCGATCCTACCATTGGAGCTTGAAATGAAAAAGTTAGCAAAATTCTAATTCCATAATCTTTTATTAAAAAATTGCATAGATGTCTACAGTGTAATCCCAATTTAGGACAGCATCGCATGCGCAATTTTATTTCAACCGCATATATAAACTATTTGATTATACCTTTATTCAAATTTTTATGTATGTTTACAGAAGATCACAGAAGCAATTTCCCACAAAACCAATAAAAGAAAAGAGTGCAATTCTGTTTAGAAATTTGATTTTTATATCTAATTTCTATCCTTTAGGTAGTGCATAGTATTTAAATTAAAGCAATTTTGGAAATTTTGACTAAGTGAACCCCAACTACATCAGACAACCACCTTCTGCAATGAATGCACCATAAAATATAACAAAAAATACACTAAAATAATTTGAACTCTTGGTCTGAGACGAATTGAAAACTTTGATCCTACTCAGACATTCCACACTTACCATCAACCCCCCTATGCTTTCTCGTACGACGCAGTAATTAATCTTCCGAGAAAATGCTAAAATGATGGGGTACGCAATTGCTGGCCTGAATTCCGGATTCCGATAAATGATGCCACTCCAGCACTGACTGATAACCCAGGGCAGTGCATTCACCAATTGTAGCACTAATTAGTTGTTAATTGTCGAAAAATGTTTATTTCTAATCATTTCTTTTATTCAAGTCAAAATTGAACTATTCATGGTAGTTGAATAATTTTATTCTTACACCTTTATTCAAATTCTTACATATGTTTATAGAAGCCTTTACATGATTGTGATTAAAAATTAAGATGAAGTATTTTATTAGGGCAACTCAAAGAATACAAATTCCACAAATGAGATTTCCTAACAGTTTACTGCAATTTCTCTTCATCGTTGATTCTCAGAATGAATGCAGGTCTTCGATTCAACATGCTTCTTTTAGGACAGAGATTGTCGTCCAAAAATTATTATCTTATTGTTAGCTGGCATGTCATGTACTTTTCGCATGTACAATCCACTAGCACCTCCTTTCTACAAAAAACGAGGATTACCTTTCAAAATTTTTTATTCAATCCTGAGGTTATCCCAGCACGAATACAAATGAATTCATCAAGAATAATTGCACTTAAACCATGGTGAATTTCTGCAATTATTCTTTTAAATCTAAGAAAATGATATTGGATTCAATATTACTGCTAATTTCAACTCTTAAAAAATCAAAAGATAAAGATGATATGCTGTTACCAGCAAAAAATAATTCTCTTAATTTCGCCTCCTATCCACGAAAAGAATGATATCCTTCTCGTTATCAATTAATTAAATATAAGAAATCAAAAAATTTAGAGATAGCGATAATTTACAGCCACCAATTTACAAAAATTAACTGAGTAGAAAGACCTCTTTCAAAACATTTATGTCACGTAAACCCCACTCAGGATTGGTGGAACGAAGTGATCGATGGAAATCAGTGTTGCTTTGTGGCGTTATTTGACCATTTACTGCATACGGACCATATGTAATCAATAAACCATGTTTACTAGACAACAATGATCCAGCATTCTATAATTATTATTCTTTAGTCAAAATAATACACTTATTTCTTTTGAAAAGAAATAAAATGAAAATCTCCCATTGTGACGGTATAATGATATAAATCAAGGCTCATGTAAAGTAGATGACAGGAAATTTATACTTACCTTAAATAGTGCATCAACAGCGGCATCTGAACTGATGTGTATCATATTGATTGATAATAAATAATCAATGTGTTTCGGCTGAAACTCATTCGGCAAATTCCAACTGCTAATATCTTTCCGAACATCAATTTTCAAAGCCTGTTTAACGTTGCATAACTAAAAGAAATAATTTTCAAATATATTAAATATTGAAATCGTAAGTTGCTTCCAGTCATACAGTAGTAGTAGTAGTAGAAATTAAAGCAGATGCTTACTAGAGTGAAACGTAGCATAAAAATTTATTTCCAATAGAACGCCAAAACTCACATGGATGATGTATTTAACGAGAAAACCTTCAACAACGAAATCAATAAATATTGACAAACTTCTATCGGCTACATATCATTTCATATTCATGCTATTTACGTATTGAAAATAATTTGAAGCAATTTCATACTGTATTAAAAATTAATTTTGAAAAAAAAATAAACCTGAAGAAACCTTGAAATGATCGATGTAGAGATTTATGGATTTTACATTACAATCATCCATATCAGAAGGTTGGAATAAGACGTTTGGAAAATGTGGTGCAAAATGACAAACATGCTGGCCACTACCGGATGCAATTTCTAGCAACTAGAAGTAGAAGCTTTTCAAAGATAACAAATTTAACTGATTTAAATTATCCTACGTATCGAAAAATTGCCGGAAAACAAGTCATTGGAATTTTTTTTGAATTCCATTCAACTTTAATAATTGAATTTAATCAGTCAGAAAAAGTTAGCAAAAAAAGATGGAATAATAAATACACACAGTACGTGGTTCATTGTCGATATAATGTTTGAGAATATCCAATATTGGCTGCTTGTTACGTTCCGCAGCCGGTGCGCATAACATTGAAAAAGTACGTTTTATGCAGTCAACACATGTATATAACGCAATCCTAATGAAGCACAAATTGATTAGTGTGAATGATTCACATTTTAATCAATTAAAATTAATTAATTTTAATTAATACTAATGATTAACTTTAATTAATCATATTTTAATTAAAACATAGGGGATTTGTTTAAAAACGTCTAACACTTATATTAATATAAGTACAAAAATCTACATATATTCTAATTAACAGCATACTTGATAGAGGTTTACAAAGCTTATTTTGGGATAACAGCAACTCATCTTTAAACATGCAGTATCATGAATTAGAAACAAACTAAATTACAACAGATAGAAAAACATGCCGAGTTATTCATACATTATCATTTCGATTTGATTACAGACCGCTATAATTATTATAGCTTCTTTTAAGTGGTCAATGTAATTAATAAACATTGGCTGGACTCATAAACCAAAGATTTTTGAATTTTTTCTTTATGGTTTCTTATAGTTCTCATTAATGAGAAAAAGTATAACATAATGCACTAAAAAAAATTCCGATGCAAAAATAATTAGGTCTGAAATTCGCAATTATCGATAAATTTCTGCTTATGCAAAACTGAATTACTGATTGTAATATGTTAAGCAAAGGCTGAATTAAACTGAATGGCATCGCATCATTAATTCGAAATCACCGATTGCAAATTTTAATGTAATGTGGTAAGATCTAACATGATTAAATCCTTGAATTTTCAATAACGGATTTTGAACTTTTGAAAAAAGAATTGTAGTCTAACATTATTGAAACTTTTAAATCCTCAAAACTATGGATTATATATACATATATAATTCCTTTAAGACTATGGCCATTTCTTTGTTTTCTTACCCCTCAAAAGATTAAATCTTTCTGGTTAACATTTCCTTTTCTTTTCTTAACGGCCTATTTTCTTAACCTTCCTGCAAATCTCTAACTAATTATTTTCATTTATTGTTATCGATTATTTCGCATTCTACTGCAGTTTTTTTCTCACTTAGACTGAATCAATATTCCACAGTTACTTAATAATATCAACAGAACTAGTATCTAAGTACAACATCATTGCCCAAACAATGAGATGGGATATAATATTTCACAAATTAAAAAGCCAAGAGTTTACAGCTTCTGCATTACTCGTTGGCTTTGGTTGTCAATGAGTTAAATTGTGGTAAACACGTACGTGAGCATTAAAGAAAGAGCCAATGTTTCTAGAGGGCTTGCACATGCACGCATATGTACTCCACAAACGTAAAGTATGCGTTTAACCACAGAAACAAATTGGAAAACAAATCAAGCGCAAGATCACAATATTTCCAGGGCCGCATTTTATGATCCCTACAAGGTTTCAACAGTATGTTTGAAGAATTGCGAAGGAGTTCACCGTAGAATTGGCGCCTTAAAAATCGTCGAGAAATTGGCTTCGAGTGAAGGCTGACCGAATGATCAGCGCCTCAATGGGTAACTTGTTCCCGTCAAGATTACTTGAATTTTTGTAGCTATTTTTTGTACGCGCCATTTTTAACTTTTCGTTGAATTTCGATTTTAGGCTTCAGTGTAATTCGTGTCTTGTTTTTAAATTCCGATTTGCATGTTTGTCTGTTAGCTACGGATTTTCTGCATGAGGAAGTTTTATTATGATCAATTTTTCACCTATTTGTTTGCGGGCTTATTCACCTATTTTTCTGCAAATATGCAGTGAAGCTGTTTATAAGACGAAGAGATGCTAGAAGCTGAGATTGTTATTTTAAATTCATTCATAATGCAGTAAAAGATATATACCCGTTTGCAGATGAAGCATCTAATAAGATTGGCCAACAGTCATCAAATGGAATGCAAAGCTCGCAGAAAGCGAGTGATAGCACGAAAACTATCGATACAAGTGTTTATGTTCCACAAGAAAATGTCGAGGTAGCAATATTTTCAGACAGTTTAAGATTTGTCACGACAGTGATCTCACTTTCTAAGTGTAGGGAATAAAATAAAAAAATTGTCTATTTCTAGCTTGCGGAATAATTGGGCTTTATTTATCGGAATAAGTGATTGGTCGGAAAAGTTTATTAGGCAAATATTGGAGTTATCTGTATTCTGTATTTAGTTTGTACTTTTGTTCAGCAATAACAGTTATCATTAAATTACAGAGAATTTCATGTTCTAACATGCGGCTGCCTTCTTCAGGTTGAAGAAACGGAATTAATTGAGGAAAGCACGGTTGGACAAGTGATTGTTGGAGACGATCAGGAATATTATTTAATTTTAAGCCTAAATGGACCTGATATTGGTGCGGTATTCGGATTTTTTTCTACTTGTGATAAAAAATTGCAGAAAATTTTCATTCTATGAATAAAAAGATGCTATTTCAGATGTCGGAAAAGTAGATAACGTTCAAATCTTGAGAAACGATGATGGTACAGAGACGGTACTACTGGAAATAGATGAGCTAAATGAATCAGAGTTTCCATCTTCTCACTACAGTAAACGTAATTTTCGAATTTTTAAAATTAATTTGATTTATAATTTAATTTTCTTATTTCGAGCCATTTTATTGTGTTTTATACCCATTATGAGTAAAAAAAATCTCTTGTTGCTCTAGAATTTCTAAGTTATTTAGATGTGGAATGTCTTAGTTTCGTTCCTACATTGCTGTTTTAATTATGGTTTTTTTGGAGGATGGTTACAAGATATTTCTAAATCATCAAATTTTCAGTGGAAATTTCTCAGGTAGAGCTAGTCTAGATTAGTGACATATCAGTTAGCAGATAAATAATAAAAATATTTTGATGTCATAATCAGTTGTACGAGGTTTTTGAGCCATAATAATTATAGTGACACAATCTTCAAAAGTTTTTTCTCTTTTTTGCAGAAAATGATTCTTATCACGGTATGGAAATCGTAGATATCGATAAGCATGGTAAAATTATGCAACAGCTGTTCGGCAACTCGGCTGGCTATGATCCATATCAACTGGGAAGATATAGAAGGTTTTTTTTTTTTTTTCAAGTTTATACATTGTTTTTTTTTGGTTTATCAGTTTCCGGTGTTCATTGGAGTTTATTATATGGCATTGCTGATTGCTCTAACTAATGTTCCGAGTATTATAAGTTGCTGACACATCTCGAAACTAACTACCTGTTTCTACATAGCTTTATTGCTTTTATAGAATTAGTTTTGACATGCTTACCCCTTTGAGCTTCTCTTTATGTTGAGCGAAATGGGAGCGAAAGCATCAATCGTTATCAATTTATAGAAACCGTGTGTATGGTACTTATTCTTGTCCGGAATGCGATCAAACTTTCATTAATACTGCTAGGCTGGAAAGACATTTAGCAGTTCATCAGGTTCTTTCTCAACAACTTTTTCGAAGTATTCTGAAAAATAATCTACCAATTAATGCGGAATTTTTCATAAAGTACTCAGAATGAGTGACTGGGTTGAATGAAGGAAGGGAGAGTTTAACACATTTAACGACGGCACATAATTTGGCAAAAAAGTGTAAAATTTTTAACCTTTAAATTTACAGTTATACAGAAACTGTTTGACTTCTTGTTCCTTAATGTTTAAAATTTATTAATGTATGTTAACAAAAATATAAAATTTGCCATATATTTTTGATTCAAAATAGATTTCTGGTTCATTCCAATGTCCACTGTGTCAAAAAGTCTACAAATATGAATATAATCTGTTTTATCATTGGCGTCGAACATGTCATGAATTAAGCGAGTTGATACCGGCTGAAAGAAGAAGGGTTTGTTTACAATTTACGGCTTAAAATTCACTTTGTTGGTTTTGTTAATTCTCCATTTATTCATGATTTGTTTCCCTTATATTTACAGGTTTTCGAAACATCTTTCAGACAATGGATGTTAACGTTTTACGATCAATGGTATTAAAATTTGCACGAAAAAAAGCAGACGAAGCACCACCTCCTGTGATGAAAATAGGTATTAATCCGAACTTACTGTTCAAATCGAATACATTTGGTCTCATTGATATGCAAGCTCCTCTAAGTAAGCTTTTTTTTCACTTAAAACATTCTTTTAAAAACACATTGAACTTATTCACATCACAGTGCTATAATATAATGTTTTTGCAACGCACTGAATATTTTGTTAACGTTCGACTCTTCTGTACAAACCAAAAAAAAGCTTGAAGTCGTCGGTAGATGTTTTATTCCTTTACAGTTCTATTTTTTTGTATCTCTTATTTCAGATACTCAAAACAGTGTATATGCGGGTGTTCCATGCAAGCAGTGTGGTGTGAAAATATCCAGTTCTGTGATTCAATGGCATATTGCCATGCATCGAGGTATTATTCCTGTAGATGCTCGAAGCGGCAGTGGTGAACATTTTTGCAGCCTCTGCGGACAAATATTTCGTCAACATTATAGTTTAATCAAACACTGGCGAAGCAATTGTAACGAAATACAAGTCAGCAAAATACACAGTTTTATGTTTTTGCATAAAAATTCTATTTACTCTTATTGAAATTTTACTTCTTTGTTTTTGTCAAGTACCAGTCATTTACTTAGGCACGCCTTTCTGATACTCGAGATTTATCTATGGATGACGAAACGCTGAAGGATATGGTAGCAGATATAATGCGCGAATTAGGTGAAGAATATTCTCAGCGATTTGGTGGGAGTAAGTTTTGCAGTTCTTTTTATACAGAGAGAAAAAAGCTGACGAAACACTAAAAATTGGAGCGACTATTTCATGTTCTGGCGTTGTCGACAACTTAGTAAGAAATGATGGGATTTGAAATATTAAACTTTACTTCTCATTTTAATACACTGTAGTTAATTAGCCTGCTAAAGCAACAGAATGAGGTGATATTTTCCTCAGTTCAGACTGAAAAAGACCAATTAATAGAGGAGCATTATGAAGTAGGATCTAGCCAAGTCCTTAAAATATGTTTGCAAACCTATTTTAAGAATGCTAGTCTTTTCACTATGATCAATATCTCACACTACTTCCATTCTATAAAAACTGTATGAAATCTTATCAGTTTTGGCATATCGACTTGCTTTATTTCTTTTGTGTGTTAACTCTGTTAATTTTTTATATCAAGTTATTAAATCTTGAAATTTGTCAAATTAACATTTTAGTTTCACAAGAAGGTGATGGAGACATGATATCATCTCAAGATCTGTTTCTTTCCACAAATAAGGATAAGATATGTTTTTTTTTTCGATTTTAAATGTTATTTGTTTTATCGCAATTTGTATATTTGATGCAAAATTTGCTTTTGTTGTGAAATTACACTGATACCATTGTTGTCATGAAGCTACTCCACACTATCTTAAAAATTAAACAGTATTAGTGTTTGAATATAGAATGTTTTAGGACTTATCAGCAGCTGATTATCAACAAGGACTTAGTGGTCGTTTCTCATCTCATGAAATGTTAACACATTTGGATGCCGGTGATGAATCCGAGATAGTTGACACAGAGGGACACAGTGTTTCATGGAGTTTTTTAGACCAGGTTTTTTTGAATTTGCATTAATTCATATTATTTATTTACTTATGAGTTGTTTTAATTCCTTATTTTCTTTTCATTATGATATATAGTTGCAGGTGACTGGAGAAGCTGCAGGTTCTAATGAACCAAATCCAGTGCGTACAAAATGGTCCTCTACTCATGGTATGGTGCAATGTTCAGTATGCTCCCGTACTTTTGTTAATATGACAAGGTAAATGTAAGACTAGATTTATTTTATTTTAGCAGTGTTGAATCTTATCTAAACACACAGGAGTTATATACACATTAGATCGAGTTGAACAAATAATATATTGCAGATTAGAGAGGCATATTGCTGGTTTCCATGCCACTACTGGATCACATCCATGCGTGCTTTGTGGTAACCGCTTCAAATATGATTATAATCTTCTTTCACATTATCGTCGTTCTTGTCCATATACAAAGTTATATATTGATTCAGAGAAAAGGGAACAGGTAAAACATGACTGACATATCTTTATTAATATTTCTTATAACTTGCATACTGAGCTTTTCATTTGAACAAGATTTAAATATTTTTGAATTTTATGTAAATAGAAGTTAAAATTGTCTTATCGGTCAACTGGAATTGAGTTTTATCCAATTTATCCGTTTTATCCAGTTTTTAATGTTGATTTTACTTCATAGTTATAATCTACTTCGTTGCACTTCTTCCATCACTATTTTTTGCATAAATGTTATTGAGCGGATGATATTGAACTTAAACATTAAACTAGATGGATAATACTGGTAACTAGTGAATATATGATATAGGGCTTTGTTATTTTTTTGTTCATTATGTAAGGAAATGTTAGATTTTTTCAGATATCATTGTGTCAGTTTCACATTAAATTTTTTAGTTTGATGCTCTTGCATTGCGTCGCGCAGTGAGAGCACTGGCACAGAGAAATATACAGCTGTCTTCAGCGCAGAAAAAAATGGTTGCTAATAAACGTGAAGTTTCGGATAATTCAGTAGTATCTGTTCCTCATTTTCGCACAAGACCACCGTTTGAACTAATGGTTATGCGGCCGGATCTGCCGAACGGAAAATCGTGTCCTGTTTGTGGTTGGTGCACATTTTTTTAATGGAAATATTGTTCGTTAGAAATTGCCTTTTTGTCGTATCATATTCACTAGATTTATTTGACAGGGTTGTGGCTACTGTCAGCTATCAATCTGCTTTTCAAAGTACTGTTAAGTTAACTGTAAACACGTAATTCTGTGCAGATTTCCCTGTGTTTATATACTTAATTTTATTCCATTTACAATTATCATTTGTGTTCCTTCATCTTCATTGTTAAAGGAGTGATATTTTACGGTGAACGCGCCGTCGAGCATCATGTAAAAGCTGTTCATCCCTCAGAAGTGCGTCATTACTTCCTAAATGATACAAGGAAAGCTGTAGCTACCCGACAATGGTGTACAGGTTTATTATCTTAACACATTCTTAAGCGATATTTATAGTAAAACATTATCATTGAATATCGGTCATTTCAGTTTTCAGATCATACTAATAAAAACATTAAATTTTTAGAAACAGCAGACAAGTCGGGAAATCAAACAAATGATATTGATAACGTTGAACCTCCTCCGACACTTGCGCCCGAAGTACCTATTCCAGAGGTAATTTCTTCCACTTTCTTTGTTGGAAGTAAAATCTTTAGTAAACATTTTTTTATATTCACCAGTATCATACCTTTCATCCTGCAAAAATATCGCTGCTGTTTGTTTTTGAAACCATTAATGATATTGAAAAAATGACAGATGCTATTTTTCTAATTCGTTGGCGGTGACTATCAGTGTTTAGTGGAAAATTAGTTTATTTTTCTTGGCATTGAAAGATTTTCCTGTCCATATAGTGTCATAGTTGATGCTCCATAAGAGGTCATTATAAGGAAGTGATACCTGTTCAAGTTGTATTTCGAAATGATGTATATTTCATTTTTTGGAATGACTACCGTCATTGATAGCAGGTCAGGAATAATTGGTTAGACGAAATAGTTGTAATCGTTTCATATGAAGTTCACTGATCAAAATTGATACAGTAATAATAAAGTGGTGTTGAAATGAAATGCAAAATCTCAATCAAAATCTTTCAAGTTACATTTTGATCACTCGTTGTTTCTACTTTTTGAGATTCCTCATGTCACAGTTTCTGAGATTTGGGGTTTTTTTCTTTAACTCTTTCAAATATTTTAGTCAATGACAACAACGGAGTCTGTCGTTCGTCGCGTTTGTCGTATTGATGAGGATGCTGATGGGAATCAGATATTCATTGATGAAAACGGAGAAGTTGTATGGAGTATTGTTTGTTCTGCTAATTTTTTTCGATCAAGATGATAGTTTAGAATGATATTGCCATTGTTGTGATATAATCACACACACACACACACACACACACACACAGCCTCAAGCTGAAGTTCCCTCGTTTTCACATATTCTTTTCTATCTTTATCGTCTCCTTCGCTTGGAGGACCACGAAGACATGCTAAACATAGGCCTACAATTTCTGCTTTCCATCTTTACAAAGTTGTGGAAACCCTTTTTTGAAATCTTCTGAACATCCCTTCGCTTTTCATTAAATCGATCCAGTCACCTTATGAATGAGTGGAATAGTTATGTCCGAGGTATACTTAATAGCTGAGAAAACAATTCTACAAATTAGTTGAAAAGATTGAATGATTCAAAAGGCCGGGAACTATATTGTGAATTTTTTTTTGGGATTGACACAGACTAATTGCTGTTCATGTTCGTAATGCATTTATATAATTTGCACTAGTTGCACCATATTATTAGCAGTGAAATAATTTGCCCATTTTGATAACTTATTAGACACGATTGCTATTATCGTGCACAACATAATTTTTGGTTAACGTTTGATCGCTTTTTACGTTATATATTTGAAGATCGAGTTAGGAGAAGATGAGGAGCTGCAAATTCAATTTGATGATATCGAGAGCGTTCAGCATCTGTTTGAAACTGGTCAACTTACTGTGGCGAATGATGATCAGACAATTATTTTGGAAGGAAATTTAAGTGTGAGTTTCCACATCTAGGTAGAATTTTTATCTAAATATGACGAACGAATATGAAAGTTTGGTCTTCTTCTTTGTTTACCCATTATTTTCTTTAGAATTCTTTCCCATCCATTTGGAAATTTATTTGTAGTTGTGGATAATATAGAATTATGCTTTTCATGGTTTTGCTTAATTATTATATCTTTGTGATGGAATGGAATTTTTAATTGGCTTTTCATGCAGGATTCGAAATATTGCTATAATATAAACTACGGTGACAATAACAGCTCGATTTTGTCGACTGGTGGAGCACGTTTTGTGGAAGATGAAAAAGAAATAACTGATGGTGATAACAAAGGAGCACGAAAACAGGAGTTTGAAGGAAATCCACAACATTATGGTTAGTATGACTGTAAAGCATTCATATGACTCTGTAGTCAATTATAGAAAATTATTAGTTTTACTAATGGAAATTTAGAAACTATGTTTTAAACTCTGAAGAAAAAGTAGGTGCAGATCGGAATGTATCACACGTTCATGCGATCGTAAATTCTTGAGAACTAATACAACCATATATCTTAAGATGCGGATATACACTGAATATATCGAATGCGCAAAGCGTACTCCAATCTAATTTCATAACTGATTAATATAAGCTAGTACGGATCTATGATTTTGCTCATTCAAACTTCTTCGACCTACCACTACATGATATATTTTTGCTTCAAAAAAGTATATATCTTTCATTGCTCCATTTCCGTTATCTGCTATGCTCTGCTAGTTTTCCTACGTTTTATTATGATAATTGCAGATTTCAGTACAACGGAATCAGTAAAATCGGACCCGAGCTGAAATGCAGGACAAAAAAAATATCTAAAAATGTTGTTTTATTATCTGTAAGGGTATGTTTGTTTTAATTTACTAGTTTGCTTAATTTTCTGACATTGTTTATATGTCGTCGTAATCTAATGCGAAGTAGTTTAACAGGCGAAAGAATAATACCAATTAGGGCAAGTTTGTCACTTTTAAATATAATAAAGATTACGTCGCAAAGGGTGCAGCATTTTCTATTTTTCAAAATTATCTTAATATTATTTGTTTATTTTTAGCCTCACTTTTTTATTTTATTACTGTTTCAGGATTGGAAAAAAACATAGGGAAGGTTTTGGAAAAAATCACACGCAATGAATTGACTATTCTAAGAAAGTTTGTGAATATTGATTATTCCACGGAAGTTTGTAAATTTTGCTAAATGTACATATTTATGACAAAAACAGTAAACAATTTTCCATACATATAGCAGTTCAGACTACATCTTTATCACTGCATTTATTATGAGGAAACATGAAGAATGGATCACATACTAAGAATATTTTCCAAATCATGGATGAATTTCATCTGATTCGTGGCAGTGCTTTTTTCTTTTATTTTTGCAAACGATCTTTTTTACGTTCGATAATTTTATTTTGGTCTATTTTATATGCTTCTTAACTTTTCAATGAAAAACGAAGTTTTCTAAATTTTCATTAGTTTGGTAAATAGTCCATATATTGTTGATTACAATTATTATACATAAACGTGTTTTCGAAATTTTTAACGAAAGATTAAATAATTATAAAATGTGTATTAAGGTTTTATTGATTTTATTTTGCCATTTTTCTGTGATATGAAAAATTGCTTCATTGTCCACAATTTCATGCTATAAAATGATTTATGATTAGTATTTTGAAAAAGTGTGCCTATGACAAGTCAATTTATGAATCAGTTTGTGTGATTATCATAATTATTTATTTCCTTGTGAATTCATAAATTTTTCATTATCGAATTCTATGTTTTTTGAATCAAATTTGTTGCGTGATGCAACATATGCTGCAATATCACGATCTAGATTACTTTACTTAAATACCGTATTAACAGGGGACAAAGAGCCAGAGATTGCGAACGTCTGGATACGAGGAATGTACATGATTATTATTATTTATTGGGAATTGTTGTTATGTATGGGATAAAAATGCAAGGAGATGGGATGTTGAGCTTTTTAAGGTCTAAACTTTGTCGAAGTTTTTTGAGTACTCAACTGTCAACCTTGTATATAATGTGTTAAGAGAAAACATGCCAATAATATTAATTATTTTCATTGTATGGGGAGCTTGTCACGTATACTGGTACTTCAAAATTATTGAGTTTCGTTAATATGAAAGTGGCCCCGAATGAAGACAGCGACGATGATCAAATATTGGTAGCATTCCGGAAATCGGACCACTCGGAAAATGAAGCACCGTCGTCATCATCACTGTCAGTGTTGAATGCACAGCATGAATTACCTCTTGCGCGGGTTAAGACGATTATGCAAAGTGGTGGTGAGCAAGTGCCGATCTCCAGTGAAGGCTTATTTGCTATGACCAAGGCTGCAGTAAGCAATATTGTACTAAAGTTTTAGCAGTTATAAACACTTTTGTTTCAAAAAGATTTACTGTTGGAATGGCAAATTGGGATATAAAGGATCATTGTTTACTTTGATGTCAATTCCTTTGTGGGAGCTGGAATTTAGGCCTTTTTTGTGAAGTATTTTGCTGTTCTATTTAATAACAAACCATGATAAATTGAAATACAATTACAAGGTGATAAGGGTGTTATTTATAGCTGTTGAATAATATAATATTAAACGAATAGCACTGAGGTATTGGCTTAATGCTATTCGTTTAACTTTATTTTTAATAGTAATTTTCCATTGAACTAAGCTGTATGTAATTTGACCTTCGTCGTTTCAAAGTACAAATAGAATTAGTATTTGTGCAAAATTATTGATTTCCTTAAAATCATTTTGTTTAAAGGAACTTTTTATATGCAAATTAGCAAAAGAATCATATGAATCAAATGGCAAACCAAAATGTATCGAATATTCCCATTTGGCGGATTATATTCAAGACAATGATAAACTTGAATTCTTGCATGGTTTGCTATAAATTTGGAATTTGATATTTATAAATTTGATATATAAATTTGATATTTCATTGTTTTTACAAAATTCATCAAGGTATATGGAAAGCAGCAAAAGGATAGGGAGTAGTTTCATTCTCCACATAAAAAAAAGTAGAGTATTCAACTCTACTTTTTTTTATGTGGAGAATTGTTCTCTCGCTGAATGGAGCAGTATATTCATTGTAATGAAGTTCCACTATTAGATGTTGAGTAATTGATTAATTGATAATTTTTAGAAATGGTACCTCACATGGTGCGTCTCGCCGATGTGATGCATTTAGTGCAGCCATCTATATCATAAACAACTGGATGAAATGATATCATAGGTTGGTGCTATTCTGTTGTATTGAATGGTACTTCTTGTTAAGCATGTTTCGAAATACGACAAAATTATTGCAGAATAATCAAATTTTTGATTTGCCCATATGTTTGTATTTAGCTTTAATTGTGTCTTGCTGCATTTTTAAATTTAGAGGAATAATGCGGATTTTAAAAATTTGTAAGTTGATTAGCATGAAAAGTAATTTTTTATAGTTTAGAATGACAAAGTATTTGTCTTCTTTATTTTCAACGATTCTGACTGACCGAAAATGAATGTGATCTTTGGTCGTCTGATTTCGAGAATAAAAAATGTTGGCAATTTTGCAGTCCAAAATTAGCCTCAATCAAGTCAGTTCTGGCAGTCATCTATTTCTTCCAGCAAAATTACAGCCATATTTTCTTGTTTCCAGTCATATACCAAACAAGCATGGTTTCCGTCAATGGCCAACTTTTTCATTTACAAATCCTCAATGCCGCTGTGCAATATGGTGATAGCATAGCATTGGTATGTCTTACTCATGTGTTTAATCTGCTCTAGAAATTGCTAAAATGTGCCAATGACATAATATTTATATGGTGTATTTCGAAGTTAAACTTGTATGTGAACTGCATGTGTTTTTGAATTTTGTATAAAGTTCGGAAAAAATTCGTGGCACTGCAAAATTTATAAAACATTTCAAAAGATTCCTACATTTAAGTCTAAACTGGATATGGCATAAATTTTTATTACATGTAGGATGTATGAGAGCTAACGCTTCTCTTTATGTCAAACCTCTAATGCTGACAAATAGGAGTCAAGTAATTGATAATTAATACTTGAAAAGATAAAAAATATTGGTAATATATGGAAATTTTTTCTAAGTATGAGAATAAACTCTTACAGACAGATGAACATATCGGTGAAAATCTAACTTTCAATCAGCTTCGGAATAAGTCTTACAGTTTTGCTAATGCTCTTAAACTATTGGATGCTAAAAAGGGCGATATTGTGGTTGTTTGCCTGAAAAACTGTTATCAGTATGCTGTCATCTTCCTGGGTAGTGCGCTAATTGGATGCTCCATATCGGGTATCCATCCAGAATCTACCCAACGTAATGTTTTTGAAATATGCAGACTCCTAGATTGATGGATACTTCGGGATAGCATTGTTTTCGACAATTTCTGTTCCGCTAGATCTCTTAGTTTCCTAGAATATAATTTAAGCCAATCAAATTTTGCAGACAGTGCAAAATAAAAACGTTAATTTTCGTTGCATAATTAATAAGCTAAGGGATTGAAACAGGCAGTACTTCTTTATTTCAAATTTTTTCTGAAAAAAAAATTATACTTTTTCTCACCTACGAATAATACTGATTAGCATGAGAATCGGGGATAACATCTGATTAGATTTTTCATTAAAATCTAACATTTATTTTAATATTATTCTAATATGATCCAGAGAAAAAATTTAGATGAGCTCGAAAAAGCTCTGAAATTAACAAGTGCTAAATTTCTGATTGTATCATGCCACAATTATCATATCGCCATCAATTACGCTGCACAATGCAAGGTTTCCTTTTTTTATTTCATATTGCTTTTTTTTGTTGGGGATTGAAGAATTATCACAAATTACAGTGCTGTAGTGGAACAGGAAAACAAATTCGAAAGGAATCCTGTACATCAAACAAAATCAATAAGATATTTCTTGAGTCTCCATAAAATTCCAAGATGTAAACTTTTTATTCTACAGTAAATGATTGTTCTCAGGAGCTTGAACTATGCTTGAAGCATAATACTAGAAGTTTCATACAAGTATGCCAAAATTAAAATCAAGTAGGCTGAACTATCGATATTTTCAATCAGTGAAGTGATCTATGGTTACCATTAATAACCACTCATATAATCACAAATTTTACTAATTAATTATATTATTGATTTAATATAATTTGTATCCTTCATTGAACATCTTTCCCTTCAAGTATGTCTATTATAGTTAATAATTCTGAACAAACATTTTGCTCAAGTTGGAGAAGATTTCGACAGTTTGATCAAAAAATGGGAAGAAAATTTGGTTGATATCAGTGAAAAAGACATTATCCTGGATGACATATTGCTAACACCTTTTAGTAGTGGTACCACTGGATCATCGAAATGTGTCCAGCTAACTCATCGTAACTTCAACGTTTCAACTGCTATTCTTAAACAGTAAGCTAATGAAATTTCATCCATATTGAGTAGAGAGTAAAGATATATTCAACTTTTAGATAGTATTAAAATTTCATGTCAACTGTTTGTTTATATGAATGGTTCTTTCCACATTGTATCATCAAATTCTTCCTTATTCAAAACTACATTTATTAAATTCCTTTTTCATTCTTCTCACAACTTTCCGTCCTTTTATCAATCTTTTGGTTCCCGAAAAAAAATCTATGTGTCTCTGTAAATTCTTGAATCAAAAATCTAAATGGATTGCATGGATTGCACTTATTCATTTTTTAGGGCCTTATTTGACAAGTTGTCGGAAGGTCGCCGACGTGTAACTATCAGCGTATTACCATTTTATCATGGTTCCGGATTCTGGGCATTATGTTACTGCTTACTAGAAGGACATCAAACCATTATAATGGAATCTTTTCATCCAGCAATAATGCTAAATTGTATTGAGAAATATAAAGTACTACTTAGATCTTTTTGATTTTTTAATATAAAATATTTGAAAAAATATATATATTAGTTAAAGCTGTCATTTTAAGCGTACTTAGCAACCGAACGAATCGCCTACTTTTTCAGTTTGACTGTAATGAATCAATTTTTGACTCTGTTTGTTTTATTCTTCTCCTTATAATAGCTCATTTATCTTTGTGTACAACTTTTCGGATGTAACTGTTTCACTGTATGTTTGTTTAGATCGACACACTAAATGTGGTACCGGTAATACTCGAGAGTCTTTGCCAAGATGAAATCCATACTAACCGTTGGGATTTATCATCATTAACGACTGTATTATGTGGAAGTGCTCCTTTGGGTAAAGAACTTAGCAAACGATTTCTGCACAAATTCCCTCATGTGATTAATTTAATACAAGGTGCTACTTCGTATATTTTTATGATTACCTTAGTGAAATCTTAAGTATACAAATATAGAGATGTTCATTTTGTACTAATAAAGTTGAAAATATTTTAGAATTTAATCATGATAATACTTTATCTAATGAATATATAACAGTCATTGATGATTACACTGATGATAGTTAATTAAATTTAACTAAACATTATCACATAGTTCCAGCCTTATATAGCTTTTCATCACTAATCGTCTTGGTAAATTTTGCCAAGATTTTTTCCGAAATTCTTCCCAATGTTCAAAATTACTATTCTTTACTTTCAGGTTACGGTATGACAGAATTGGTAGTTCTAAGCCATATAATGCCGCTGGGTACACCAATCAATAATGACAATTATTTGGGAAGTTGCGGGAAACTGCTTCCTGGCTTCGAGGCTGTGGTCATTAATTGAATTTTAACATGAACAATTTATGCATTTCATGATTTAATATGAACAATTTATGCATTTTTCTTTGAATTTGATTGCAAAATATTTGAATCCCGAAATAAAGATGTCAAATCATGCATGTATGCTGCAGCTGCTAGATGAAGAAACTGGTGTAGTGCAGAAAGAACCGTGGAAACCTGGTGAACTCTTGCTGCGGTCAGAAGCAATCATGAAGGGTTATTTGAACGATACAGAAGAAACCAAAAAAGTTATTGACAGCAGCAAATGGTTACATACTGGTAATTCATTTTCCGTTTATGACTTCAATTTCAATGCTTAGAATCAAATAGCCAAGAAATAAAATTAAAGTACTGAAAATTGAATGCAGTATTGCTATAAGTAACCAATTTAATATCTCATAAATATATGTCAAATCAGATGAAGAGCTGTCTTCTCTGCATTTTGACTTTGAAAATTTATTGAATTTGGTTTTTTCTCAAGTTTAGTGAAATTCCACATTTTGTGATATTGTTTCAGGTGATGTGATGTATTTCGATTCCAACGGCTTTTACTTCGTCATCGATCGAAAGAAGGATTTAATCAAAGTAAACGGCATGCAAGTGTCACCGACTGAATTAGTTCGTGCTATTTGTTCACTTTTCATTCTGATTTAATTTAATCTTAAGGAAGATTACTTTTTAATTAGTTAAGCACTGGACTACAACTGTATGCAAATTTTCAGGAAGGCATCTTAAAATGCCACAAGAATGTCAACGACGCAGCTGTTGTAGGTATACCGGATAAGGATCACGGGCAGGTCACTGTACTTCCACATATTGTTCATTGACTGTCATATAGCTTTAAAAAAATTTTAGATAAAAATGAGGCGAGGAATTAAAATTAGCAAAGTTTACATCTGAATTAAAAATGATGTAAATAATTTAAATCTAAATACCAATTGCGTAACGGGCGCTGTCAGAGTGAGGAGTGATATGACTAAAAAAAATGCTAAAAATAAATTGATTGCATATATTGAATTCTGGAAATACAAAACCATCATTTGTTAGGTTCCAAAAGCATTTGTTGTATTGGTGAACGATGAAGCGGTTGGCTTCCAGCCTAAAAATCTTATCAAATACGTAAATGGTTCGGAATTTTAAAATTTTTCTTTTTAAATTAAAACTTTTTGTTGTTAATTGTGTATGTAGGAATATGAAAATCAACATTTATGTAAATATTTGCCATTAATTTCAAATTGTTGTAGACCGAGTAGCGCCACATAAGCAATTACGTGGTGGCATTCAAATAGTACGTGGATTGCCGAAAACGCCGAGTGGTAAAACATCACGTAAGGACTTGTTGAGCATTGAATTTCAATAATTGTGAAAATTGTGTGATTGAAATTTTACTGTACGATTTGATAAAAGTTTCGAAAGAGATTTAGTTTCAGTCTATAGAGCAGATGTGTTGATTATGGGCAGTATTGCAGCGTCACGCTATTTAAAAGTATATTATCAATTTACACATTCCTCGAAAAACATCTATTTAAATACACCTTAGGCCTGATTGTTATTGCTTTAACTGATAAAGACAAGCTCTGGCTCATTTGACTTTTCACTATGGCACAAGATAATATTCTACATTCCTGCATGTATCAATCATAACGACTGATAAAAAATGAATATAAATCTTTTTGGAAATAAATTGGCTCTTTCATTCTTCGATATCATTATAAAACTGAAAAGCGAACTTAATTAATTTATTTTTTCATAGCAAGGAGAATTTTTTAGTTTTTTTTTTTAAAGTCAGTTATATGTTTTGCACAATTTTTAATTAATTTAATGCTTTTTGGTAGCAGGACATTTCAATTTTTCATTTCCTCTTGATTTGACCTTTTCCTGAAATGCGAATTTGTCACTGGCATATCAGATAATGCACTTAAAGCAAGATAATCAATCATTCATATAACTTTCACTCACTCGTTTTTAAAATTAAATTAATATAAGCAACAATTATTTTATTTGAGGTAATTAGGGTCTATAAGTATTGAATTCTTGGGAAAATTCAGTTAAAGAGAATTTTGAAGATAGTTGAATATTTAGCAGGAAGAAAGTGAAATTTATGAATAAATTTTGAGTTTTGAATAAATAATTCTCGAAAAACAATATGAACAAATTTTAATTAGACATTTGAATCTAATTTAATTTATGTATTTATTTAATTTCAAAAGCGAAGAGCGCATAATTGATATATTTGCTCCAATTCCCAAAATATTGTAATCTGTTTTCTTAGTTTGAAATTGCCACATCAATTTCTATTTAAAATATTGTCAGTAAAATTATTGCACAAATCCTTTTTAGCCCTAAAAAGAGTAAATCTCATTTTAGACATCTATTTTTCGAATACTGTAACAATTATGAGGAAGGAGAGCTACAAAAGAGAAAGCAAATGATTTAAATCAAAATTGCATATTTAAGAAACAGTTGAAAATCACTTTTAAAAAAGATTTATGAATTTCGAAACTCATTGTTTAGTCAGTTAGCATTTTTGGCAGCCTGTTTATTATATTCGATCAAACGTCTGTCTCTTATTATTCATAAAATTCCCTCACATTTTATTCAGACTTTCATATAAATCTGTAAGTTTCAGCATGAAAATATACTTTGATTTTGTATTTGAATAGCTATAATTTGTTCAAACTCATAAAGTATTTTCACTGTTTCAAATATTCTTGAAATTTCTTTCAAAAATTGAATTTAGAAAAGAAAAAAAGTATTTTTAGATTGAGTAATGTCGTGGTACTCAAAAATTTATATATTTGTGCGAAATTATCGTAAAAAGCATCCGTTTCGTGGATTCTTTTTAAATTTAGCTCTAAATGCGCTCCTTTTCATGCAACTTCTTATTTTCATCTATTCGTATGCTTTTAATTTCTTTTCTTTGAAACAAAAATAAAAGGAGTATATTTTTAAAGCATATCATTTCAATGAACAACAATTATCTCTTTAAAGTTTTGAATAATTTGAGGATAAAATTGACATGAAAGTAATTTTTTTAGAATTATTCGTGATAAATGTTTTTAATATCACTTTTAGTTCTAAGCTTCTTTTTTCTTTTTTAAAACAAAAAAAGTACTTGAATTTCATGTATCATGTGATAATTGTTTAATTTCCATCAAATTTTTTCCTTCATTTTTAGAATTATCACGAAGAGAGTAGTTGTTATAAAAAGAAGAATTGATCGGTACTTTATCTTAGATTATTAAAAATGTGGAGAAACTACTTATAAGAATTATTCAAAAACTTCAAAGAAACCTAAGAAGGTTTCCTTCAAATTTCGAAGAATTTAGTAAAATGAAGTAACTGTTGCAGATATTATGTATACACATGGATCACCTGTTTTCAATTCTTAACAAATACCACTCAAATTACAATCTATCTAATTATCTTCAATGTCATTCTGTTCATGATGATTTGGTCTCTTGTAATGTCAATTATCACACCAACTGCGCGAGTACCTATTCAGTACTTTGTATGCTCTTTTAAATTAGGCTACTATTTAATAAATTTAAAAATCATTTGTTTTTCTTAATTGCACCTAGTAATAACTACATGCTAATTAACAAAGTTAGGTTGGATTTAAAAAACTTTTAAACTTGATGATTTGTCGAACACATAGATAGATAATAGCTTTGAAGTTATTATGAGTTGTAACAATATTGCTAAATTTTCTTTGGTATTTCGAAAGAGTGTAATTTTTATCACCAATTTATCGCTGATTTCACATTTTCAGATGTTTATCATTGAATTTTAAAAAAAAATTTCCTATTACTTAGTATAACAACCATAAATTAATTTATTTAATTGAGATAATGCTGTAAGATAATCTTAGAAAGATTAACTGTTATAAATTTAGACTGATAAGGAGACGGACGAAAAAATAAAAGCAGTGACACCATTCAAGGAAGACCGATATCTTCCGGATACATCTACCAGTGAGCAGGTACAAAATCAATCCGATATTTTGAATAGTTTTGCCGAAAATAAGGGACTACGTTTCGTTGAAGTGGACAATTACAATCGCCTGAGGTATTTTCACTTCGCTTTCTATAAATTAAAAAGTTTCATTGAAAAAAGAAAATAAAAACAAATAAGTAATTTTTGCCTAAAAAAACGAAAAATGTCATTAACTACTTTCCCTCGCAGAGTCAAAAAGTTACAAAGATGTTGTACCATTAAGAAATGTCAAGTAGGAAACCACAGTATTTTATTTTAAAATATACATTTACGAATTCATGCTGATTATAGATTTATGAATATATATTTTAAATTAAAGTTGTGCAAAATTTTCTGAAAATTCTACAGGTTTAAAATTAAAAGTAAATTTTGTTCAAACTTTTATTTCAAGATATTGCTATCAATGTTCGCTTATCAAGCCTGATCGAAGTCATCATTGCTCATCGTGTGGTTTTTGTGTCGTTAAATATGATCATCACTGTCCATGGATCAACAAATGTGTCTCATTCAATAATTACAAATACTTCATGCTTTATCTTATCTACAGTTGCATCTTACTAGCTTGGTTATTCTTTTTATTATTACCAATTATTTCGTTATTTTTAATTAAACTATTATCCATTATTTTATCGTTTTTATGTTGCAATTGGAAAATTAAATGCAACATTTTAAAACTTCATTTTTTTAAAATAAGACATTAATTATTATTAGTATTGCTCCTTTTTCTTGTTTTTTTTGCACTGAATTCTGTAATTTTTGCTGCAACAACTGCAAATATTTTTATGTGGGAATTAAAATTTTCAAGTATTGAATGGAAATGTTTCAGGGCATTATTGACAAGTATAGAATGTATCATTCGATATTTTGTGCGACAACAATGGACCGAACAAATTGTTAATTTTATTTGTGTCTTTTTATGTGTTATTTTATTCGCTATTTTTGGTTATTATCCACTTGGAGAGCTTCTCATTTATCACATACGACTTGTGACTCTTAACGAGACCACTTGCGAACAAGCAAAACCACCAAATATTCGGTAATTACTATTAATTATATTTTAACATTCTTTTTTAAAGGAGAAAAGAAGGGGAAAGAAAAAAGATGCCTTTACTATATTAAGTGAACTCTTCCCTTTCTCTTTCTTTCCCTTTCTTTTTCTTTCCCTTTCTCTTTCCCTTTCTCTTTCCTCTCTTTCTCTTTCTCTTTCCTCTCTTTCTCTTTCTCTTTC